ACTTAATAGTATGAACGTCTAGTAATAGAAATCGACAAAACCAAAACAGAGTATTTTTTTCTTCTTCTCGCCAAGCCGTTTTCGAATTTCAAACAGAACCCATTCCATTTCACAATAATTAATGTCTTTAGAAAATTGTTCTACTAATATCGCAGACTTGATGACATCACTATAATTCTCGGTTTGTTATAACAATTTACAGACGTCAATATCGAAAACGATGCCAAAAAACAAACGATAATAGCACTCGAAAGTCAAATAAGTACATCGTTCGGATATCAAACTTGACATAATATTATTATTTTAGAACGGTTATTTAAGTATCAAATATTTTGTATGTTAGTAACGTAGGTATAATAATATGACGTGTGAAACCATAATATATGATTACGCCCACTATTGTGCGTCTTGAAGTCGATTTGTTCAAATTCCCGCGATAAAACCTACGTTTATTATAAGTATATTAGAGAAAATTAAAATGTATAATTTGAGGTTTAATGTTCGTGCATTAAACGGCCATTACATAGTACATTAAATTGTAATCCAATTTTATTATATATTATTATAGTAAGCTGGTCGTGATTAAAAGTTAATTTATTTTTACAATATCTATAATTAGTATCGACCGGCTTCATTAATAAATAAAAAAACACCATTATAAAATATTTACAAAGATACCTACATAATAATATCATATTTATTGAGCATAATTTTATAATATAACATTATGTAACGGTAGTAAACTGCTGTGCTTAGGTTTACGTCTCGGATGTTAATGTTTTCCTCTGAATAAAACAGAGAATAATAAACTACGATGTCGTATATCGTGTTCAAATGGTATTATAATATCAAGTTACAATTTGAATACAAAAGTACCGATAAATAATTATACCGAGTTAATTTCTGAAAACGAAATTTTATTATTTTTTACTCAATAGCCACAGTACGAAAAAAACATACCTATTATAAGTATACTTATTTCGAATGATCAATTTAATATACTGATGTATAAGTAGGTACAATAGTTTTTGTTCAATGCACTTTGTAGTTTGTGTTCTACAACAATTTTGGAGTTTTTGTCGATTAGTTTAAGTGCTCCTAAAGTCCAGAACACAGGTGGTATAGACGTATTTATAGCGTGTGTACGTGTACAAGGTACTAGGTACTTATATAGAGATGTAATTTTGGGAATTGAAAAATAAAGAGAAAAAAAGGTGGGCAAGTGGGTGTCGCTCTGCTGTACAGTAGGTTACAAGTGGGTCACTGTATAATGGATGGTATTAAATTTGAATTCAATGATATAATATCATTGTATAAGAAAAACGATTCTGAGCGGTGACGGTATGTCAGTCTATGTATAAGACATATTATATACATATCTATGGTATTAAACAAAAAATTGACCTATAATAGGTACCTATAATAAATTCCAAACTAATCATATCACAATATCCATTAGATAATATTATTCAATCACAACAAAATAACTAAAATCGTAATTCTTGGTTTAAATATGAAATTTTGTCTAAATTTGAAATTAAAATGTCTGTAAAAAATAAGTGTGTTTATATATTTTTTAGATTTTTTGGTTACAGTATGAATTATTTAAGAGAACCTTTGTTTTAAATTTTCAACTCTTAGTTATAAAAACTGAACATTTTATAATTTTTTAATTCCAACGATTGATAATTTTCGAGATTTTCATAAATTTTGTCAAAATTCCAACTTTAAATGCTTATAAAAAAAAACTGTGCCTATGTATTTATAATATTTTTCAACTGATATTGTAACAATATATCAGGAGCCTTGTATTAAGTTTTTACACTTTTTGGCCCAACAGATAAAACTTTATTGATATTTATAGAAAAAAAAACTAAAAAAATTGAAAGCTGTAAATGTCCATAAACAGCTCAAAAAGAGTCAAAATATTTTCAAAATTGTATGGTGTATAGAAAATGCTAATTTAAACATTCAGTGAAATTTTCATGTATCTACAGTTGTTCGTTTTTGAATTGCAATAAAATAAAGAAATCGCTACATGAGTAATCGAGTGAATATCCAATGTTGTAAAAATTTGAATTTCAATCGCTCATAAAAATTTAACTTGACTGTCCGGTAGAGATTTTTTTATTGATAAAGGTAGATAATCTTATAAGGTATCTTGTGTTTCATTTTCAAATCTTAGATTTAAAAAGAAAAATTTTGACGAATTCTTAACTCAAAATAATTTGCTAATTTTCGTGATTTTTCCATATTTTGTCAATTTTTGAACTTTAAATGCTTATAAAAAAAAATTGTGACTAAGGATTTTTAATATTTTTCATCTGCCTTTGAAACAACATATTAGGAGCCTTCTATTAAATTTTCAAGCTTTCGCAACCAACAAATAAAATTTTATTGATATTTTTAGAAAAAAAACTAAAAAAAAATGGAAAATGAAAATGTCCCTAAACAGTTCAAAATAAATCAAAATATTTTGAAAATGTTATCGTGTATAGAAAATGCAAATATAAACAACCAGTGGAAATTTCAAGGGTCTACGGTCATTTGTTTTAAAGTTACACCAAAAACCAAATTCGATTTTTCGAAAAATGGATTATGCGTAAAAATTCCCGTTTTTCCTTAATTTTTATGTTGTTTTTCCCTGCGCTTGTGAAAACTACTGTAAAATGTTTACTTTTGACCCCCCAAAGTACCAACTAGATTCACTTTCCTATCAGAAAAGGTACTATTGAAGGAAATCGAAGCACTTTTACTGTCCCAAAACGTGATGACAGACACAAAAAAAAATATAAAAATATAAAAATATAAAAATATAAAAAAAAACACACATCATTGTAAAACCAATACATTCATCGCTCCGCTCAGAATCTAAAAAAGAGACTACATCGAGCTTAGATGAAAACTAGATTTTAACCTGACTATGAATGTCAGTGTGTTTTTTTCCAAATATAAAACATTTTTTTAAAGTTACAACGCAATTCTGCTCTTTGAGTTATAGCCTAATTTTGTCACGTTTTTTTCTCGTATGAATTTTGAAATCAATAATTTTACTTGCCGTCATTATTCCCTGTAATAAAATGTACATAATATCTAGTACCTAACTATGTACGCCGTGAATTTACCGTTCGATAATTCCACTCGTAGAGAATAATTAGCAACTTTACACTATTATAGTATTATTACCTAAAACGCACTACATGTTTTGGTATTTCTTACCGTCATATTAATTGCCGTGCTACTGTTATTAGTGCTTACGATGACAAATACATAATATTATATTAAAAAAAATGCTCCTATAGTAAAGTTGATTTCGATAGCCAATAATAATGTATAACGTTTAGCGTTTGGCCAACTATTATATCTCATGTTATAATTTAAAACTAATTTACATAATCTGTTAAATTAATATTGTAACTGTGTATACCTATTGTTATCTAATGTATGACTTATCATAAGATCTGTTAATTTAGTTTCAATTGTTAATATTTTGTTCTTAAGAGTCGTAAAGTATTAATTTAAATAAATCAGTTTAAACATCACACATTCATACCCATTAAAATGGAATACCGGTATTAAATGCATGGTCGGCGAATCGGCGGTACCTATACGGGTTATTGAAATATTTTCCACGACTGCAAGTTGTCCCTCTGTCTCCCTCTCACTCTCTTTTACACACATTCACCTATTGTGTGTTATTATTATCAGTTACGTCGATCTTCATCGATCGTATAATCTTCATTATTGTGGTATACCAATAAAAACCTAGTTCAAAGTGTACTTGCATTTGTTACACCAAATATGTATATAAATTGCACACTATATAGAACTAACCGACAAAAAATGTACACACACTCAATACTTTTTGGTTCCGTCCGAATTATTATTGTATATTACTAAAATGACATATGGTAGTCGTATTTACTGTCAAACTTTCGACATTTTGACATTCACCATCAACACTTTCGAACTGAGACATTAATATTATTATTATATTATTTATTTTATTGATAAAAACCTGTTGAAATACTGCTCCACACTCCCTCCCCCTTCGGCCAATGAAAACTTATACATAAGGAATTAAAATCCTTCCCGAGATAACTGTTATAGGTACCTATATTGTAATCAGGTCACCCCGAACACGTTACAAAGGTATACGGTATATAAGGTCACCTACGAGTTTACCGATTTCCGGTATTATCGATAAAACCAAGCGGGTTAATCTCCAAGGATAATTTATACGAGTATAATTATGATAATATATATCATAAGCCAACAGCAGCCACGGATTGCACGCTTGCAACTGTCCCCCCGGACAAATCCTTCCGATGGGATTATCGACATGTTATTATGCACCTAGTTTGTCTACCTACATGGTACTTTCCTTTGATACAGGCTATAGGGTGATACATTTCTGTGGCTGTCTTTTTTTTTTACATTAATTAATACTTGAATATACCTATATAATATTTTGTTGTTTTTCTACCCACATTTAAAATGTTTAAATACAACGCACAACTATTAAATCGATATTTAGTATGTTTCACACATCGACATTTTCAGGAAAAATATTCGTCTTCTGGTTACAATGTAAAAATATAATAATATAATAATATTCGTATATTTGAAAACGAAAACTATACTAGGTATTGGATGAAAATTAGAACGAAAAAATTGTTTCTACAAAAAATTAGTGTTCCGAATACTTTACTATGAATACCTATACTCTATGCGAACGTTTTGCACGAAAATACAAAAATGTAATAGTATTGTTAAACGAGTGTATGGAGTAGCAGTCTTCGAACGGACCACCCCGTATAATCATATGTCGTATCTATAGCCGCCTACGCGCGTACACCGATAACATTATTAATAATAATAATATATTTAAAAATATGTAAATGTCCCGACGACGACGCTAATAGTAATAATAACAACGAGGTGTTTGTACAATATACGTAAGTTAACGATTTTGTGTTTGTGCAGGATGGTTGGGAGCAATGTCCACGGGAGTGGCGCTGTTGCTGTCGCCTGTGACGATAGCGTTTTGCCGGCGGAAATCCACAAGACTGACGGCCGTCATGGGCGGCCTGATCACCGCGCTGGGATGTCTTTTCACCAGTTTCGCCACTCAGTTCCATCAATTATTCTTCAGCTACGGCACCGTCATCGGTAAGCTCATAATATATATTATACCTACTAAGACAACGATGTTACAGCGAATAACTTTGCGTAACCCTCTAATCGACAAAACATCTTTAACCGAGTTAGAACCAAATTGGTTTGGCAAATTATATTTAACGGATTTCACTATTTAAAGTATATGAGCGGCGCGTTGTATGATGTATCATACATATATGCGAACAAGCGGGTACGACGATTCGTTATGAAGAAGGTTTTTCGCCAAGGTGGGAAATCAGAAAATCAGAGAGTCGAGCATGGGAAGTCGAGGCTCAATCGTGGCGAGTCTATTGTACTGATTAGGACACAATATGAGTTTGACGGCGCATGCCTAATTTCTGGAATTTATGGGGGTGGGGGCAAAAAAGGACTAGGTCTCACTACTTCTGACCCAACTCAAAAAGCGTCATCTTTAAAGTAATTATATATTATATTTTATAATTATAAATTATATATTATATATTATTATGTCTAAAACATGCGGCGGGCTATTGCGTATTTCCGTTCGTCCATAAATTGTGCGTTCATTAGACATTAAGAAAATAGCGACTTCTTAGTCACTAAATAGATAAATGTACATTGTACATAGGTATCGAGAGAGTAGCACATATTTGGGTAAATAAATGTATGTCCCGAGGAAAGGATTAAATTTCATGTTCATTGTCCTTTCTCGATTTCGTTATTTGTATGATATTATCCGATGAGACTTGTCGAATCGCATAAGCCATCATCAATCATGTGATTTGACATTACACGCTAAATGTTAAAACATTTTGATTATTAACTTCGAGTGAAATATATTTTATAAACGCAAAAGTTGTTTTCGTGAAATCGAGAGGGTAAACGATATCATAATAATAATATATAACAATGAGGGTGGTATACACACGAGCACGTTTATGCTCGATATTTATTTTCTGTAGAACGACGAAAGGCTGTAAAAAAAAAAAAAAAATGGGACAAGAAAAGGGATTCCTGTTTAAGTAGAACGTTTTCCGCACCGGTTTATCGTAATAATTTACTTTCGTCATTATCATAACCGACCACAGCGGTGGACATCGAACGGAAAAAAACAAAAATGGAAAACAATCTAAGTATCAAAATTCGACCGTTTCGTCACGCGACGATATAATTAGTAACAACTAATTCGTTTGACAATCGTTATTTTTTTCTGTAAATTGTTAATTGTTACTTTTTCAATAATTTTGATTTAGGTATCTAAATCGAAATTCAAATGAGTAGTTTTTGAGTTTTTAACATTATGTACCTACTGATAATAGGTTTAGCATTTATTTGTTTATGATGATTTTTAAAATGTTTCATAGTTAATTAACATTAATTTATAAAAACTCTCGAAGTTTAATATGTACTGCAGGCCAGACTAAATATTATATAATATACTAGCTGATCCCGTGCACTTCGTCGCCCGTTAAATGGATCAACTCAATACTACCTACTCAAACTTTGTTCAATTCATTAACGTGTATGGTGTTCAAAATTTATCTTATCTTTCCCGTTGCCCTGAATAAAAATTCTGAATCGCGGCAGTACATTATCAGGTAGGCAATCTACCTGCGGTAGATCGCGGACCCCGTGCTGTTTGTACGGAAGTGTATGATTTAACTCTAAAGTATCAAAGTTATACCAAGTTTATTTTGATGTAATACTGTGGATTAATATAATAAATTTAGTTGCTCGTAAAAAATCGCAACTCTTAAAAAAATTATGATTGTTGAACTCCTTTTGGGTGTAATTTTCTGCGGTAAGTGCAACTCTGCCACCCTGGTAAGCATTGTTCAATAATTCGATTTGATGCAAGCTTGTACCTGATCTGCCCGAATAACCAATGGCAACCAATAAATAAATGCTAATTTCTAATGTAGACTGTAACCAATGGCAACTATAAATAAATAAAAATAAAATTTCCAATTTCTATCGTGAATCTCAATGTCCCTGTTTCAGCACCTATTTAAAATGCGAATTTTGGCAAATCCTTTCTTAGCGCACGTCTATATTATAATAGCTATCTGTATGCCAAATTTCAGCCAGATCCGTCCAATGGTTTGAGCTGTGCGTTGATAGCAGTCAATCAGCTTACTGTTTTTTATATACAGATATGGTTGCCATGGTAATATGGACCCACACACACACACACACACACACACTGACATACATTCATTTTTATATATATAGATTGATATGAAATCTTGGTAACCTTAGTAACCATGGCAACCTTGGTAACCATGATAACATGGACACACAGACACACACACTGACATACATTCATTTTTATATATATAGATTTTATAAATTCATAAAAATCATGTTTAAGGATTAACAACTTTTCTTAGTAAGTAATATATACATTTTAATATACCCTATCCAAAAACTATTCGTAGGTAGGGTAAATCAACATTTAAAAAAAATTATCTGCTTAACAGCTTACTGAAAAAAGGAAGGGTTGGTTCTCATTTGAAAAAAATATGTTTGTACCCACCACAGGGCACTGTTTAGATGATACCCATAAATAGAGTAGGTACTTAAAATAATATGGTCTTTAACTATAGCTGAAAATTGTGAAATTCAGTACTAAAATAAATGCATTGTTAAGGGAAAAGTGTTGGGTGTACACTGTACAGTGTACTTGTTTGTTGAATCACCCTGTATAGAATAACAAGAGATGACCGGACTGCTAATGCCTTTCGTTTTTTTTTTTTTTAATTTTCGTTTCAAACTCCATGTGCACCGACGTCGTGGTCTGGGCAAATGTGTTTGAATAACAATTGTGTGTCTCGCGAGGTATATATTATGATAATAATAACGATGGTAATAATAATAATAATAATATATTAATGGAAATGTATACTACACGAGCACTGCACAACAATAGGTATTAGGTACACGCCGTAGGTTATAATGTGCACATGATATTCTGTGAGTACGTATTGGAGGTAGGTACTGTCTAGGTAGGTAGGTACTTTGTCAATTTCTCTTTATCTAACCGCGAACGCCATTACAACCGTTAATGCATGCGCATCTGTATTATACATTTGTACAGGTTGTTTTTGTCGCCGTCAACCTACATTTTTATGTGACACGGAACACAAAATCTTCCGAATTCGGTAATCGTTCTTCGCCTTCAGTGCCGCACGATTGCGCACTTTTACCTTTTTAACTGCGTAAAAAGCGAGAAACGATTGAGCACACTAACTGACGAAAAAGTTAAATTTGAGACATATTTTATCTCTCCAATAGTTTGTAATAGTTGAAAACAAATTTGAATGGAATAAAATATGAAAGCGAGTGAGGTTGCCACTCCCCATAATATATTGTCACATTTTCTTCAAAGCTTTACCAATATTTTATTTTTTAATATAAAATATATTTTAACGATTATGTGGTAAGAAGTTTGAAACGTTTCATAATATATTTCATTAGTGTGCGCAGCTATGGGGTCTGATACCAGTATACCACGTGCTTCGCTAAAGGTTAAAATATTACTATATTGTGTATTAGGTATAGGTATATATTGTATATTATGAAAACAAATTTGAAAAGGATGGAAAGAATTTTCCTAAAATGATCCTGAAAAAAAAATTGTTTGACTGTTGCTCAGCCATATTGAGATTTTTTCAGATTAAAAAATGCACAATTGTGTGCACCCTTTCCACATAGGACTTATACTTTTTACCCGAGGACCGTAAAAAACGTAATTTTTTTGCGTCGTTATTTTATGAAATGTAATAAAACATAACATCAAAATTCTTCATTTTTTCTCCATCTCTATATTTTGTACACTTCGTAAAAGTCACGTTATTATTATTTTCGAATATATTATGCGCGCACTACGACGGCTCATGAATATTAAAACAAAGAGGCCATACCACGACAATAATATATAAAATATTATATATACATCAACTGTTATCAATAATCGTGATTTGATTGCATCATAATAATTTTATTCATCCGAACGATTTCGTATCCAACAGTGTTATTTATATTGCTTCTGCCACACATTAATTTAAATTAGTCTACACACTGTACGCGCATAGAAAAATAAGTACCTTCCACGGCTCCCCATTTTTTTTTTCAGAATTCCTCACTGTTCACGGTTAAAAAAATATTGCAAAACGCATGCATTTATCATTTTGATGTTTTTTTGCACAAAGTCACATATAGTAGCATAAAGTTTAAACTCGTAGCACGCGTAATATATTATGTTATTTTAGTGCTTTACTGCGTCGTGTCGTGCATGCGATTGTATTGCGTACAAAAATAGGATACATTTTTGTTTGAATAATTAACTGGGTGTATTACGAAACTACGAAATATAAGGGAGGCTAAGGGGCTTTAGAACCCCTTCGCCACCCCGTCGCGCAATGCTGTATATAAATAATATAATTGTGTATACATTTGTATAGTATATTAGGTATTCCATACATATAAAATATAAGTAAAATTGTTAATATTTTTATCAAATAGTATCTATTGTGTTATCTATAAACTATATTATGTAATAAGATAATTAAAATTAGTCAAATTATTAATTAGTAATTAGGTACCATAATATTCACATGAATACTATACTTACATATTATCATATGACTATTACACACCTACCTATACCACCACTTTCACTAATACAATATGATATATTATACCTATTAAGAGGATCACAGCACACGTATTTTTCATACGCTTTAGACCAATAAGCGGTGGTAAATTACACATTCGTTGGAATATCCGATTTAAATTTTTTCACATGTGTATTGTATATGAGTCAAAGTGTTTGAAAAAATATCTGGGCTTTTTAGAAAGTTGATTTTCAATTTTCGATTTTGAAGGACTTTTTTTAAAAAATCCCATGAAATGATTGCATTACATTATTTTGTATATTTTATTTTGAGCAAATCTGGTTTTAAATCAAAAAAGTTATTCCTAAAGAGCATAGTCTAGAAGCTTATAAATTCAACATTTTTTTTTAAATT